GTCTTGCTGCTGTAGACTGAAGACTAGCTGATCTTTTGGAACTCGTCAGACCTTCAGCACCAGATTGGGACTACTGAGACATCCAGCCTCGTGGACTGAACGACTATGGATTCTCAGCCTCTCCAGTGTGGTGCAGCCATTGTTGGACTACTCGGACTCTATCCTGTGAGCTAAGCTGATAAACCTCTATACATATATATTCATTCTACCGGTTGTGTTTCTTTGGAGAACCCTGACTAATACACTCCTTAATAATTAGTAGATATGAAAAACATTACCATTGAAATGTACCTGATGACTTTATATCCAGGTTCAGATGCCAAGGATCTCAGAAAGTAATTGTCTGTGACTAGTAATTACCAGATATATAGAGATTAGAAATGCATGTGCAAACATCTTAGTGTTAATTGCATTAAAAATGAATTTTTCTGTAGGAAACTGTGTATTTTAATAATGAAATAGAGATCTTTTTTAAAGGTTAAAACATCATTTAATTTTGTCCTATAGGGTTTATACTGAGTACAGTAGTGTATAACTGTATTAATTCAACTGTAAACCTAAAATTTTACAATTTACAGCCAATTTTGAAAGAGATGCATCTTAGCTCTGGAAATTGTTATTGAATATGTCAGCGCTGTTGTAATGAAATGCTTCTTCTAATTATGTGGTTATTAAATAAATAATTTAAAAAAACATTTTGTGGCCAGTTGTGGTGATATACACACCTTTCATTCCAGCTCAGGAGGCAGAGGCAGGCAAATCTCTCTGAGTTTGAGGCCATCCTGATTTACAGAGTGAATTCCAAACCAACCAGGGCTACACAGTGAGACCCTGTTCCAAAACAAAACAAAACACCACATTTTGTCTTTTGTTTACTTTTATTTGAGACAAGGTCTTACTATGTCCCCCAGGCTAGCCTTGAATTTGAGATACTCCTACCTCAGCCTCCTGAAGGCCCCACCATGCCCATTTACTAACTGAACAGAATTATGTGAAGAAGGTTCGGGGTGTGGGGATGACTGACTTCAGAATGAATCCAAAATGAACAGAAGGAGCAATGCAGTTTGCTCTTAGGATGGAGTGCTCAGCAGCAACAGCCACCCCAATCCTCAGTGGTGCTGACTGGAAAGCTCATGCTTCCAAGAATCTTTCCAGACCCATGAACAGAAGACAGATACTGCTCTTGCAAAGGACCTGAATTTGGCTCCCAACACCTACATCAAATGGCTTACAACCACCTGTAACTCCAGCCTTGGAGAGTCAACATCATTTTCTGAATTTTCACATGCACAACCCCCCCCCAAAAAACCCACTAAAACACACACACACACACACGCACACGCACGCACACACACACATACACAATTCAAAAATAAAAATAAACAAAATCTTTAAGTGTATATGTGAGCATCTGTGTGTATGTAAGAGCACATATATGCAGGTGCCCATCCAGAAGAGGGTGTTAGATTCCGCTGGAGCTGGAGTCATATCGGTGGTTGTGATCTGTCCAACATAGGTGCTGGGAATTAAACTCTGGTCCTCTGTAGGAACAGCAAGTGCTTGTAACTGCTGAACCAGCTCTCATGCCCTTATTTATTTAGCTGATAGAAGTAATACATGGTGATCCCCAAATCTTAAATGATGAGATTTAAAAAGTGGACATCCCTACCTTCACTCTCCTTTCAAATACTGTTCTCATGTTGAGAAGATACAAATGGGCTAGAAATGATCTCTGGTATCTGATTGGCCTGAGTAGTACAAAGCTCTCATATTATCACTGGCAGAGAAGGATCCCTCAGGGCCAGGGACTAAGGTTTCTCATGAAAGGCTGTCCTGAGAGAAAGGGCACACCGGTCATGAGGAGTCCCTGCCCAAGGCCACAGGCCTCTGTCTGTCCTTGGCTGACTATCTACCATGTTCAGAAATAACTGTACTGAAAAAACTGGAAAACAAGCCATTATTGAAAAGACAAGATTTTCCCTAAGTATAAATGTATAAACAATAGGTGACATGTACCTATTGGGACACCCAGAATCTAGGAAAAGCATTTACATAAAATGTCAATTCTTTAGGAGCCAAGAGATTAGTGGATGCTTATGTATTAAAAATAGAGCTAACCCCTATTTATTCTTTAATTCAACAAGTCTTTTCTGAGCCTATGAGGGATGTCCCTGCTGGGCCTGGAGAACACAACCACCAGGTCACAAGGTCTGTCTACAAGTGGATCACACTAGAGAGGACACAGGCAAAGTGGGGCTTAGCTTGAAAAAGGAGATGAGGGAAGACACCTAGAGGATGCTGTGATCACCTCTTCTTCACCCTGCTGGGTCATGGCCTGACTCCACACTGGCCAGGCACCACATCCACTCACAGCTCAGGAAGAGGAAGGTAGTCACTGCTTCAGGCAGGGCCCCATGAGGGCCACTGTCTTCAGCTGGGAAGACAACTCCTAGGGCCATGTTGGTAGGCTTGATAGTAACAAGATGTGGTGAGCCTAGTTCCTTGAGAGAATGTGACGGGCTTGTCTAACTCTGTGGGTTGGCAGGGAACTGAAGCCTACTCCAAAGGGACAAGCATACCATGTCTGGTCCCCACAATCAAGAGCGCTGGTGACCAGGGAATCTATTCTGTGAAAACATTGGAGCAATCTCCAGATTTGACAGTATGTCAAGACACCTGATTTTCCATTTATTTTGTGACTGACAACTGTAGGGGACACAGGCTCAGAGGAAAAGGAGCAAGGTCATGGCTAGAGGAGGCTCCCCTACCCCAGCCACTGCTGTATGGGCAGCGAATACGGTAGGGATGAGAGTGTGGTGTTGAAAGATGGTTTACAGCCTGAAGCCAAGGACAGGGAATGGCCAGCCTCTGGGAGGCCCCAGCCCAGACCCTCTGGATCAGCAGCTGTCCTTGAACAAGAGTCCAGGTGATTTTATGCCCCTCATTGTCTGGGAAGCAATACTTATTTCAGGTTATCTATCATTTTTTTGCTTTCATGAAAATAAAGGGCAGCTTTACCAAGTGAAGGTCATCATTGCTAATGTGAAGGTGATGGAGGAAGATCCTGTTCCATATTAACTTTTCATGGCATTGAGCCACATCTGGGTTCTTCACTTTCTTTGATGCTAGGGGAGCAGCCAGAGTGGATGAATGCAGTGAAGTTACTGACAAAAGGGACCAGAGGGAAGCAAAGGATGATGATTCAAGCTGAGTCCTTGAGCCTCAGAGCTTTGCAGCCAACCACAAGCAAAGGTAAACACAGATACTCCCCAGCAGGCAGTATAGAGAGTTACTGAATGGGTCCCAGAGCTACAGTAGCAGGACTCTGGCCAAAGGCGCTTAGATTCCCTGACTGATCACTGCATGTAATTCCAAATGACACATTTTGCTTTCAGAAGAACTAAGTTGAACAATTCAATTCTCTAGAAGTTTCCTAATACTAATAGTGAACAGGAGCCTGAGACAGATCCTGGGTTGAGGATGTGATTTCAGAGACATGACAGATATGTGATAGAGCTGAGGGTGACAAAGCTCAGTGACATAGAGTGTGCTTAGCATGAGTGTGGCCCTGGTTCCATCCCCAGCACCAAAATATGAGATTAAAATGAAATAATGAAATAGGATCCATGAGGGTCTGGAGAGATGGTTCAGCAGTTAAGAGCATTGGCCACTCTTGCAGAGGACCTGGGTTCAAGTCTCAGCACTCACATGGTGGCCAACAACCACCTTTAATTCCAGTTCCAGGGGATTCGACACTCTCTTCTGACCTCCATGCACCCAACACAGGTGCACTTACAGACATGCAGGCAATACACTCATACACATAAAACTAAAAACTAATAAATAAAATATTTTGAAAAATAGGATCCGTGAGATGGTTCAGCTGGTAAAGGTACTTGCTACCAAGCCTGACAACCTAAGTTCAGTTCTTGGGAACCCATATGGTAGAAGGAGAGAAACAATTTCCATAAGTTGTTTCCTGACCATTCGTCCATGCACATGTACACACAAAAACAAATCAACAGATGTAATTAAAAATTAAATTAATAAAACAATAAAATAAAGCAAAATAAAATAACATGTATACCAGCTCACACTACACACACAATAAGTAAAAAGAATAGCAAAATAAAAACATAGTAAGTAAAATAACCAAGCAAAGTAAAGAAAGGAAGTAAAAGGAAAGATGTGATGTACACAATGCAGAATTACAGATGCAAAATCTGAACACAGGCAGCAGAGATGCTGATGCCTGGCTCACCAACTTAGTACTAGTTGACTAAATGTTGCATGATTTATACAGAGTACTAAGAAGAAGAAAAGAAAAACTACTTAATAGTTCTGCAGGGAAGGAGGAATTTGGGAAATTCTTTAGAAGAATGTAGATATAAATGCACAAGAGCAAGTAAATCGATATTAAAAGTCTGAAGAAAACCCACCCAGTGTAAACATTGCATGGCTTTTTTGTGTCTCTTGCTTGTTCTGCAGAGCTGCTCAGAGCTCACACATGTTAGGCAAGTGCTCTACCACTGAGCCACAGCCACACTGCAGCTGTAGACAGTTTTTAATATATAGTTTTGCTGAGATGTAATTCACATGGCATATAATTCCCATTTTAGTACATTCACAGATTTGAATAGCCACAAATCTAACTTAGAACATTCCAAAAGAGAAACCCTCAGTCACTTTCCCTCCCACACCCTCACTCTTATCCCCAGTCCTAGGCAACCACTAATTTGTTATCTGTCTCTCTAGAGTCACCTATTCTGGACATGACATGTAAATGGAATCATACAATATGTGATATAGACGTTCAGTTAATTGGCAGCTATTCTTGCAATTAATCTCCTCAGACATTTCAAATGCAAATGTTTTTAATTACTTACATAAAGATGCAATCAAGCCTTCAGAATCTGCAACAGTACCCATTAGAGACAAGCAGACAAAAACGCCTTCCTAGAGAGAAGAAAAGGGAGATATACTCTAGTGAGTCTCACCACCACAGGATGGCACCGCAGACACACGGCACTACATGACTGCACCCCTGCCCCAAGTTGTCCATGTCCTGGCCAGTGGCCTGGAGGGCCACACCAGCACAACCTGTGATCCTGGAGTCCAGCTACCCAGACTTGGAAATGAATATTTCCAAAGTTAATGTATAATAAGTATCATTTTTCAATGATTGGTATTATAAAATCGTAGGTATATTCTCACATAGAAAAAAAAGTGAAGTATTTTTTACAAGGAGCGAGATCAACTGTTGAATGAAATAGAGTAAGCTCTAGATTATTAAAAAAAGATCTTAAATTTTGGAGAAGAGTCTCATAGCAGTTCATTTTTTAAAAATATTTTATTTATTATTTTTATTTTATGTGTATGAGTGTTATGCCTGCATGTAGGTAAGTGCACCCGTGTTGTGCAATGCCTGTGGAAGACAGAAGGGGCTGTCGGATCCCCTGGGACTGGAATTATGGACAGTTGTTAGCTGCCATGTGGGTGCTGGGATTCGAACCCAGGTCTTCTGCAAGAACACTCAGTGTTCTTAACCTCTGAGCCATCTCTCCAGCCCCAGAAGTTCTTTTTTTTTTTTTTAACCTTAAAAAAAGCAAGCTTGGTCCATCCTAATCCCTGCTGGTCAGTCAGTGATATGCCAGGCTTCACTTGTGGACCAGAGCACCACAGAAGCCCTGCCAAAGTTGAGCAAGACCTTTGTAGGCTCATGCCAGTGGCACTTCTGAACACTGAGGAAAAGAAAAAAAAGCAAGCTCAGAGCTGAAGAGATGGCTCAGAGAACCCGGATTTGGTTCCTAGCACCCACATGGAGGCTAACAACCACCAGTAACTCCAGTTCCAGGGTATCCGATGCTGCCTTCTGGTCTCCGCAGGCATTGCATAGACATGGTACACTTACATGCATGCTGTTTGCTGCAGTGGACTACAATATTGTGTTTATAAGAATACCACTCACTGGGCCAGGCGTGGTGGCGCTCACCTTTAATCCCAGCACTCCTGGGAGGCAGAGGCAGGCGGATCTCTGTGAGTTCAAGGCCAGCCTGGTCTACATAGTGTGTTCCAGGCAGGCTTGGTTTTTTTAGGGGACCCTGTCAAAAAACACAGATCTCACCCAAAACTAAACCCAGCTTCTATCAGAAACTTCGTCAATGGAATTCATGAGCAAAAATGGATTCTGACACTAGGTATAAGTGGAGAACCTTTTCTCTAAAGCGACTCTGGTGACAGCAAGAAGGAAACTGCAAGGAAAAGACCTGAAGTTCATAACCTGCAGGAGCCTCTGAGTGTGTAACAAAGTTGCTTCTTCTTACACTGTTCATTCCACTCATTTTTCAAGTCTCAGCTCCGATTCTCCTTTTCCTAAGAAACCGTCCTAAACCTCCTACTGAGGATACATTTCTCACCCTCCTATAACTCCAGCTACTAAATTTGCATTTCTGTAATCGCCAGCTCCTACAGGGTCACCAGCTAATGCAGGATCACCAGCTCCATTTGCTCACACATTTTTGGCATCTGGAATATTGTGTTCTTCATATTGGAATCCTCAAGAATCTAATAAGATATTTGTCTTTAGTGTTTGCTAACCCTCAAATTAACAAGTTTACATAATGAATTACTTAAAAGGAAGGAAGGATGCCCTGATGTGGCTTTTAGACCACATTAGTTTCTTGCTGTATTAATGTCCTAAATGCAAAGGCAGTGGGTGGGGGAATTGTGTGTTATTATAAAAGGATTTCTTTAGGAAAATGTCTATCCTTTGTCTTTGAGTCATTTGGACTTTTTGTTAAGAATGTTAAAGTTTAAAAATGTATATATCACTGCTTGTTATTTGTCTTAGTTTTTCTGTTCCTATGACAAAATACTTAAAGCTCCTTCAGGACAGACCCATGCATCGATTATATGCAAAAAATACCAAATACACATATGGTGAGCTTCCGTGGACAACTGACTTTGTTTAGCAACCCTTAACCATTTAGTGTTAGCTATGTCATCGAACCTCTTTGGGGTGGGGGGCATAGTAGACTTGGAATGGGTTCAGAGACAGAGTCAATAAAGGGAGAAAGTACTTACGTGAAAGGACTAGGATCACTACAGACATGGAATGGGTCTGGAGGATCAGTGTAGACTACACTATCTAGACAGCAGGTCATTCTTATACTTTTCCTGGATGGTATAATGGTTCTTCACAGGGACACCAGCCTATGTTAACTTGTCCACTACTGTGACCAAATGCCTGACATTAACAATCTAAAGAAGGGAAAGACTGGTTTAGGTTCATGGCTTCCAAGGTTTCAGTTCATGGCAGGGAAGGCATGGTACAGAATAGCTCACACCTGGGTGTCTAGGAAGCAGATGGAGAGAGTGCCTGTACTAGCTAGCTTTCTCTTTTCCCTCTCCATTCTTTCTGATCTCCACCTATGGGAGTGCCACCCACATTCAGGGACAGTCTTCCCCCTTAGTTAATCCTGTCTGGATAAATTCATAGACACACCTAGATGTGTGGTTTACTAATCTAGGCATTCTCAATTTACTTGGGTTGAAAATCAAGATTAGCCACTGGAGTCCTGTGTTTTGCATAAAAGAGGAGCAAAACAGACCCAGAATTGGCTTTTTAAAGAATTCAAGTACTAACAACTAACTACTTGATCCTTTTCTCAAAACAACTCTAAGTGTTTGTACCCCCTCCCTCTAACAACGAGCCAGTCCACCCAGCTTTTTCACCACAGCAGAACATCTGAGACAGGCTAACCTCATGAGAAAAAGGGTTATTTATCTATCTCATAGTTTCAGAGGTTAAGTCTGGATGGCCTGGCCCATGGGTGCCAGAGAATGGCAGAGTGCTATGAGAAAGGACTGTAGTTCAGACTAGGCTTGTCCTTTTAGCAATCCTCTTGAGAAAACTGCCAAGGGGTCCCTAAAGAGTTACAATACTCCTTTTGAAGGTGTGCCTTCAAGTAACCCAAGAACTTCACACTAGACTCAACCTCTTCAAGATTCCATCTAGGGCCACCCCAAGGTGGACCCTCCAACCTTTGGATCTTTGGGGTAGACCCAAACCATAGCACAGGAGCTCATGGAAAGTCCTGAAGTGTCCCACCTTCAGAAGGACTTATGGATGAAAATCAGGAAAAGAACCTAGTAAAAAGTGGTATCAATATCAGGGTTTCAGATAAGACCTCTGGCAGGTTCTATGATTTGAGCCTGGCCTGTTCTGACCATGAAGGAACTCAGGAGAAACACAAATCAGTGGGTACAAGCCCACTGCAGCAGCCCACTAAAGCCCACTCACCCTCCCCAGTGACAGACTCCATGAAGCCCAGCCAGACACACGGGGCAGAATCCTACCTCAGAATGAGACCAGTGACCATGGTCCTAAAGATTCTTGGGGGCTCCTGAACCAAATCTGGATTAATATCTAGGGTAGATGAAGAACTAAAAAACGCTGAAAGATTAACCACAAATTTAGCACCAAAAGAGTAAATCAATCAACAAGTGGGCAAATGAACTGAACAAATATTTCTTTAAAACATTTTATTTCTTTATTTTTATTTCATGTAATGAGTGTTTTGCTTGCATGTATGTAAGTGCACCTGTGTTGTGCCCGCAGAGGTTAGAAGAAGGTATCAGATCCCCTGGAACTGGAGTTATAGACAGTTGTGAGTTGTCGTATGGATGCTGGAAACTGAACCCAGATCTCCTGGAAGCAGCCAATGCTCTTAACTGCTGAGCCATCTCTCCAGCCTTCTGAACAAACATTTCTTAAAGAAATGCAAATGACCATAAGCAATGAAGAAATCCTTAACACCTTCATCCATCAGGTAAATCAAAACCATACTGTGATTCTATCTCACTTCACAGGATAGCCAGCATAAAGAACACAAGAAACAGTGCAGGGCCTGCTGGAACATGGCTTTAATCCCAGCACTCAAGAGGTGGAGGCAGGAGGATCAGGAGTTCAAGGCCAGTCCTGGCTATCCAGCTTGAGGCCAGTCTAGTCTAGATGAGACCCTGTCTCCAAATTAAAAAACAAAACAAAGCTGGACACAGTGGCACATGCCTTTAACCCCAGCACTCAGGAGGCAGAGGCAGGCGGATCTCTGAGTTCAAGGCCAGCCTGGTCTACATAGTGAGTTCTAGGCCAGCTGGGGCTAGGGCAACCCTGTCTCAAAAAGATGAAAAAAGAAAAAATTAAAAACAAAACTTTTTTTTTTTTCAGGGAAATAAGGAAAAGGGAAAAGGAAGAAAAGAGGAGGAAGAAAGAAGGGGAGGCAGGATGGAGAAAAAGAGAGGAAAGAAAAAGTGACCAATGAAGCGGAGCCAGATTTGAAATGTTGGATCTGTTCCCTTTATTACTGTCTCTACATTTGTAAATGTTTGAAATTGTTAAATGCAAAAGTTAATTTTTAAAAACTCCATAGTGACTTGCTAAGTAACACTGTTATGGTGATGACCACAAAAGCAAGACAGTCACAGTACTTGGCAGTCCTCAGCCAATGATAGCTCCCAGACCAGATGCCCGCAGCCTCCAGGTTCACCAGCCTGCAATCCCAGAGGTCCCTGGCTTTGCTGTCTACCAGGCAAGCAGAGCCTCAGACTACAGTGGCTAAAGAATCCATAGCCCAAGATTCCAGACTCCCTAGGACCTCCCACCTCCCAGGATTCTCTCTAGATGCAAAGCAGCCTGGGTTTCAGGGTCTGCATCAGCTTAAGCCAGGTCAGGTGCAGAGATATGCGGCCCCAAGCACACAGAGTGCATCACCAAAGCAAACAAGCCACCAGCTACTCTTCACAAGATGCCCTTTTTGATCATACAAATATTTAGCAGTCAACACTACTATGAACCTGAATTATTAGAAACCCAACAAACCACAAGGCAAACCTGTTTACCTTCTGTATGTGTACCTGCCAGGCAGGAGGGACTAGAATGACAATGCTTTTTAGTG